ATCTAGAACATCATAACGTGAATGTTTTACTTCTTTACTTCTGCACATTCTTGATGATGCATGCGACTAAAAAACTTTTTCTGTCATTCTATTCTGCATATACGTCGAGACGAACAATATCGATTCTATGTAAAAAAGAAGCACTTTGTTTAACCAATTTTCATATACCTTTTCAAAAAAATATAAAAAATTTGTCCAGTAAAAGTGGTGCTCCTATTCAAAATGCTGCTGTTATTTTTGCTGAAGTTCCATCTGACTATCCTGAAGCTGGCAAACACATTAAATATGTTAAAAATCGAACAATTAACATAAATTATGTTAATACACAAGGTGGTATTATAACAAAAAATCTTGTCATATCCATTGATCCATACATGAGAGGACGTATGAGACCAGCCGAAACAAAAAGTTATGTAGAATCATTTGAACTCAATCAACCATTGACCAATTTCTTCGTAGGTAAAGTTGTTAAATCAGATAATAATAAATATAAAGTTGGTCAAGTTGTGTATGGACAAGGAGCGTATGAAGAATATACAATTCATTCAAAAGATCAAGCTGAATCACTTCGTATTTTAAGTGATGAACAACTTAAACTTGGTTTATCTTTAACAACATGGGTAGGAGCTGCTGGAATGCCAGGACAAACAGCTTTCTATGGTTTCTATTACATTGGTCAACCAAAGAAGGATGAAACAATATTTATTACTGGAGCTTCTGGAGCTGTTGGTCAAATTGTTGGACAACTTGGTATGTCAATTTCTTTCTACTAAATTGATTGTGTCTGTTACTATCAGTTTTCTCAAAGCAAACAAATTTTTCTTTTTGGAAAAAAAAAATTTTGTTTTTTTGTACAATTCAGAAAGTCAAGCAAAAAAGAAAGATAGTATGACGTTTATTTACTGTAATTTTAAAAAGATAGGATATCAAAATATGATTTATCTTTTCTTCATTTTTAATTTGGTTTTTTTTTGTTTTAGCTAAACGTGAAGGTCTTAAAGTGATTGGATCAGCTGGTACAGATGAGAAAGTACAATGGCTTAAAAACGAACTTTCTTTTGATCATGCATTTAATTATAATACAGTTAATGTAAGAAAAGAACTTGCTAAATTTAATCCATTGAATATTTATTTTGATAATGTTGGTGGTGAACAACTTGAAGCAGCAATTGCTGCTGCTGCTGATCATGCACGTTTTGTTGAATGTGGTATGATTTCACAATATCATAAATCAAATGATGTTGGCATTCGTAATCTTATATTGGTTGTTCGTAAACGACTTAAACTTCAAGGTTTTATCATTTTTGATCAAACAAAAGATGAAAATTTTAATAGAGAATTTTATTCGAAAGTACCGAAATGGATTGCTAATGGTGAATTAAAAATTAAAGAAGATGTTACAAAAGGTTTAGAACAAGCTCCAGAAGCTGTTGTTGGAATTTTTAAAGGAAAGAATTTTGGCAAAGCTGTCGTTCAAATAGCTGATGATTAAACAATTTTCTATACATTGTTTTTTTTCCTGTAAATTTATATACACTTGTTATAGCTTATATTTTAATAAAATATTTTCATAGAGAAAGTATGTATAATTTCAATGCATATAATGGCTATTAATAAACATTGATCGAGATAATATCAACGAGAATTTTTAGATCCGTTTATTTTAATGATCTTTCCTTTGAATTTCATAATGGTTTTATTTTTTTGAAAAAAAAAGAACAATAAAATAACACAATATATTTAATAAATAAGAAAGAAATAGACATACTCTTCGGACAACTCGTATAATGTTATGTTATGCATTGATGTATGGTATTCTAGTAATTTGCTCTAAAAGAGTATTCAGACAGGACAATTATCTGTCACTATTATTGATGTGTCATTTTTTATCCCTGGATAACAATACCAAGTGTTTTCTTGTTTTGTAATGGTTTCTGACAGACGCATAATTGAAATTTTTTCGTATATATCTCGTTACTATCAAGGCATCTGTATTTCTGATGGTAATTTGTATTGTGTCATTAGTTCGAATTGCATGTCAACTAAGACATTTCGGCCTCGACCTTCCGATTGAAGCGCGTGTGGCCATATATATCGTACATCAACAGTTCTTTTATGTATTATCTTTTCTTTTACAATTATTTCTTTTTCTGTTTAACAGAACGTCCTTCAGATCTAATATATCATTCATCTTGTAGTAGAGACACAAGTTACATTTGTTATCCTTTATCTTCTAGTACTCTGTATTGCATTCTCAATAAATATGAATATATTTTCAATCTCATTCTTTCTTTACATAATTATCTATTGTGCGAATACAGCACCTCCAGTAAATACAAATGGAGCAAGTATGTTTAGAATAATGAGAAATTAATTTTATAAAATAATTAATTTAGATACGGGTTTAATTGCAAATGGAAAATTAATTGATGAACTGACATGCAAGACGGATGATGGACGAAGTAAGTTGTTGTTGTTGTTGTTGTTGTTGTTTTTTTTTTATTTCTTAACATATTTTCTTTTTATTCAAAATAACAGTTGAAATTCCACTCAATGGTAAAATGCGTGTGGGTACAAATCCTTGCAAAGGTAAAATTTAAAAAAATCATGATAAATATAACAATATATATATACATATATATGATTATTTGTTTAGTATGTACATGTACTGCTACGGGATTTTTATGCGAAGATCAATGTGAAACAATCCCAGGATCAACTTCAATAGGTACTCCAGGAGGTATATTTATCTATCTCATATGAAAAATTTCTTTATTATATTGATCATTTTATTTTAGATAGTACCACAACTGTGTCAAGTTCTACTTCACCTTCACCTGATCAAATAATACTTTCAGCTTCATTTGTACCACAATCAGTATCAAATACAAATTCAAATGGTGCTTTTGGAACAGGTCCAACAACGCCATCGTCAAGAATTGATAACTCTGATGACGACACATCAAATACGATTGGTGGTGGATCATGTGCTCGTATAGCAGTTAATGGATTAGTACCCTCACGTGAATATGCATATATGGATTGTAGTGAAGTTTATCTAGCTGGAAAACGAACAAGTGGAATTTATGAAATATGGTAAGAAGAAAACTAAATATAAAGATAATTAATTTTATATATATGTGTATATATATATATATATATATTAAAAGGCCTCGAACAAGTCCAAAACCTTTTCGAGTTTTATGCGATATGGATACAGATGGTGGTGGATGGACAGTTGTTCAACGTCGTGGTGATTATAGTCAACAATCAAATTTTTTTGTAACATGGTCATCATATAAACGTGGTTTTGGTGATCTTACACGTGATTTTTGGCTTGGAAATGAAAAAATTCATGCATTAACAACTCAAGATGAATATCGTTTACATATTGATATGGAAGATTTTAATGATCAAACACGTTTTGTTGATTATGAATGGTTTTTTATTACAGATGAACAAACAAAATATACATTAAATTTAGGACGATATATGACAACATCAACTGGTGGTGATTCGTTATCATATAATCGTGGTATGCGTTTTACAACACGTGATCAAGATAATGATCAATCTATGTCAAGTCAATGTGCAGAAAATTATAAGAGTGGTTGGTGGCATGCTGGATGTACATTAGCAAATTTAAATGGACTTTATTTACGTGGAAATGATTCAACTGCTACAGGAATTTTTTGGAATAATTGGCTAGGTGCAAAATATTCATTAAAAACATGTGCGATAAAGGTTCGACCATCTGGTTTTAATACAGAAATGCTCACGTGAATAAGACACGAGTCCTTTTTTCTTTTTGCTTTTGTATATTATTTCATTTTATTATTGAATGACAAACAGAAAGAAAAAAAAAGGCCTAATTGCAAACGAATAAGATATGCTATCTTATACAACAAATCTTTATGATTAATTTCAATAAGAGAAGCGAGATTAATGAATAAATAATTTCAGATAAATAAAGATGAACTTTAACATGATTTATGTTAAATACTTTACTACATAGTAAAAATTAATTTAGTGAATTTTTAAATTTGTTTTAAATTGAAATTAAATTAATACACATATAGTACGATGTTTAATCGAATGAGAAAAGTTCTAATTATTAACTATATATTTTCTAATTTAAAAAAAAAACGCTAATATTGATTTTTGAGTAGAAGTTAATATTTGAAATTGAATGAAATAGTATTTAACAGTTAATTGTAAACAATTTATCATTTTTTTTCCTTTGCTTTATATATTAGGGTATCATTTGTCTTCTTTTTTTGTCGTTCTATCATTTAAAATATGGAAATAATGCATAAATGTGCTGTCCAATGATGTATAATTTCATTCCTTCTAATTTCCACCTCTAGAAAATATCATAAATAATTCATTTTTAATTATTTAAAATGTTTAATTTATTTATGTAGCATAAGAATTATTTCAATTGGTCGAATAAATATTAAGAAAGAAAAAAAAAATCATGTAAATTATATGTTACATTAATCATCTGATGGCCATCTATATAACTTTCTTTGGCGCTAGTTTAAATTGCTCTTTTTTTAAAGTTGATAATAGCAATTTTTACGCCTTAAAAGAATAAATATACTCACATAATATTCATTTATATTTTCACAATAATTTTATAATAGAATCATTAGAATTGCACATTTGACAAGTTATTTTAAGTTCTAATTAACTTTTTCAAGACTGAATAAGAATACAATAAAATAAAAAATAATTTTCTCTATTTACCTATATGCAACCAATTTTCTATTTCTTACTAAAAATACATCAAATTTTATTATTCGATAAAGATTTATCTTTTTCCTAGACTTAATTTATTTAATCTATTTATTATTGACCGATGATAATACCTATCAAAAGAACGAATCAGTTTTTTTTCCTATAAATAGGTTATGTTAATTGATTTAAGATAAATATTAATTTTGTTATCTACTCAGTGATTATTCTCACGATTCCACCATTTATTAAGTGGTATCAAAATGGTGTTTGAAAATTTAGTTGTCTATTTACTTGATAAATATTTGGGTGATTATATTGAAAATTTAGATACAAAAAAACTTAAAATTGATATATGGAGTGGTAAATAAAAAGAAAAATGAATTTCTTTTATCATTAAATTTTTTTTTGTTCTTAGGTAATGTTGTTTTGGAAAATCTTTATTTAAAATCGAATGCATTGGTATAATTTATTTTACTAATTGCAAATATATAAATCGATCTATTTTTTTTTATTTTTAATTATAGGCTGATTTAAATCTTCCTGTAACTGTATCAATTGGATATTTACGTATGTTGAATTTAGTTTTGTTTTATTAGAAAAAAAAATTATCTTTATTTTCGTTTTAGAAAAATTAACACTTCAAGTTCCATGGAAAAATTTATATACACATCCAACGAAAGCAACAATTGATGGACTTTTTTTACTTGTTGTACCTAAAACTGGTCTATAGATTATTTTGTTTTTTCGTTTTGTTGAAAGTTTTTTTTTTTTTTTTAAATGTAGAAGTTCAATATGATGCGCAAAGGGAGGAGAATGAACAACATGAAGCTAAAATGAAAGAAGTTCGACAAGTTGAAGAACTTCGAAAACAAAAAGAAGCTGAAAGTAAAATAAAGATAAAATTTAAAAAAAAAATAAAGATTATCTTTTTATTTTCATTAACATTTAGAAAATGCCAAAGAAACTGGTAAAACTAATGATACATTTGTTGAACGTATGCAACTTCAAATTATTCGAAATCTTGAATTATCAATTCGAAATATTCATATTGTCTATGAAGATAAATCAACTAAACCTGATCATCCATTTGCACTTGGAATAACACTTAATTATATTACACTTCATGTATTATATCAAATAAATTTTTATTTTTTATTTTAAATTACAAAAAAAAAACAAAACATTATTTTTATTCTATAGACAACAACACCAGATGGGGAACCGACTGTACTTAAAGAAGATACACCGTTGATTCATAAAGTAAGAAAAAAAAATTTTTTTCGAAATCAAAAGCTATTATTCATATTGGTTTTAAAATAAACAATAGTGAATCTATATTCTAATTGAAAATTTAATTATTAAAACGATCTATTTTTATTTTAGCTTGGTGAATTAAGTGCCTTCTCAATTTATTGGAATTCAAATGCAAAATCTCGGTCAGACTTACCAAGAGATGAAGCTATTGTATATTAATTATTTCATTTATTATTCAAATTTTAATTTTTTTTTTAAATAGAATGATCTAAGAGAGAAAATTGCAATTGATAATCAACAAGTACCATCTGATATTGAATATAGTAAATTTTAATGTTATTTTTTCTTTTTATTCACTATTCTATATAAATTTCATCTAGTTCTTCGACCACTTCATGTCAAAGCAAGACTTATATTAACAATGAAACCACGTCAAGAACATTTCAAACAACCTATGTTTGATGTTAAAATTGATTTAGATGAAATTAGTTTAAATATGAGTCGTGATCAAGTAAAATTAAATGAAAAAAACATAAATATTATTTTAATAATTCTTTAATTTTTGAATTATTTAGTATTCAGATTTACTTGATCTACTTGAATTTCAAGATTATCTTATTGTTAAATCAAAATATATAAAATATCAAATAAAAAATGATAAAGAAGAAAAATCAAGTTTTAAAAAGTAAAATATTTTTAATTTAAAATAAAATAAAATTCTTTATTTTTTTTTCTTTTTTAATATTTAGATGGAAATTTGCTTATGAAGCGATTGTTAATGAAGAAATTCGACCAAGATTTGAATGTTATAAATGGGAAAATATCAAAGCACATTTAGATCGATGTAGAGAATATCGTGAGATTCATTTTCAAGAATTAACGGGAAAGTTAACAAATGAACAAAAAAAACGTGCAGAAGTAAGAACAAAAAAAAATTTTTTAATGAAATAATTTAAAGAAAATTCGTTTTTTTTTCTTAAGGAATTAGAAAAAAAACTTGATGTTTTTAATTTAACATATATTCGTCGAAGTGCAGAAATTGAAGCAAAACAAAAGAAACAACAAGAACCTAAAACTTGGTGGGGAAGTGTATCAACTTGGTGGAGTGGAAATAAACATCCAGATGACCCAGGTTTTATTTTTTTGAACTCTTTATAAATTAATTTTCTCTTGATTTTTTTTTCTATTATTATTCTTAGAACTTGATTTAGAAAAAGTCATGTCACCAGAAGAAAAAAAGAGACTTTATGATGCTATTGGTTATGCTGGTGAAGATACTTCAACATCGAGTTATCCTGAAGAAGTTTGTTCATCGTTTTTCTTTGTTTTTTTTTAATCTCCCAAAAGAATCGAAGTCTACACCACAAAACACATTAGCTCATTGCTTTTCACTATTCAATTCTAGCTCTGTTTATCTGCTTGATTTCCTTTGTGTTACATGCTTCTTAGCAATGGATAAATCAGTGATCAGATACTTAGTACTTTTTACTAAACAATTGTACTTTGCACTTGTACTTAAATCAGAGAAGGAATTGATAGCAGCTATCAGCCTGTCTGGTACGGATTTCAGACTGACCGGTCTGTCCTACTCAGATTGGCTCCGTCTCTGACTTAACTAAGTTTGCTTGTACTTAGTACTTAGATGAGATAATGTTTTTTTTGTTACGAAATTGTATTCCTTGTTTATGCCTTTATAAGATAGTTCTGTATAAATTTTTTGCTGCACTATTAAATCACGAATGATAGAAGAATTGAAATTTTTATTAGTTTGAAAAAGTTGAAAAACATTAGCTTTTTAGAAGAAAGAAATCAATAAGTTTGACGTTAACAGACAATCAACGAAAAAAAACATTTGACACGAATATATAGTACATATAAGAAGCGTGAAACAGTTAATTTATAACAAATTTTGCTTCATGCGTAAAAAAAAAACTAAATGACGAAATAGATGTTTGTTCGTCTTGATGACAATATCAGTCTGAGGGGTGGATAATGAGAAGCTAACACTCCACGCCCTATTAAAGTATTGTACTTTGGACGTTACGTTCCATGTTTTTTTGCCATTACAGATGCCATTAGACTACGAAAATAGTAGACATTGATAAAGAAATATTAGTCAAAGCAAAATATTACATTGTATTAAGAACATTTGTACACAGTACTGATAGTATAATATAAGCCACTTTTGTGCATTTGAACTATGCGTCAGCACTAAGTACAAGCATAAAATACAATAGTTAAGTAAACAGTATTTGTACTGGTACTGATTCAACTACTGGAAGAAATCAATTTCTTTCATGATTTGAAAAATGTGTATATCTACTTACAAATAGCTATTGGAGAATTGTGAAATAGGAATTAGGTGTACAATCATACTATTCTGTGGGAGTTTTTCTCGCTGCGGATTTATGAGTAGCTCAGAAAACGGCATAATATTAATTTTTAATCACTTAATAAAACTATGGACAAATCTTTAACTGAAAAATGATATATCTTACAAAGGTGAACGATAATGGGTTCAAATTGTGTGAACATTTATCGGATTCGATGATAAAAAGATTAGCGTGAGATAATACAATACCAATTTTTATAACATTCATAAAATCTGAACTATGCATCTCGTAGAAATAAGAGCACGATAATTAAAATATATCTCTTATCATTTCTAATTTATATACGAGCTTCTATGATGAAGTTGTTCAATAAACACCTATATTCACCCTACTATAGATATTCTCAAATTGATCACACAATTTGAAAATTTCGATTTATCAATTGTTGAACACTTTTATATTTGTAAGCGAATGAAAGTATAACTACAATATAAAAAAAGAACTTTTTCGCAATAGAATCCTACCTTGAAACTTTTGAGTTTCAAAACAAATTAGAAGCTTACCGGAATTCTATTCTATGGACGATTTAAACAATTGTTTTTTTTTGCAGTATGTTGACATCGACTTAGGAATTCATTTGAATATGCTTGACGTTAATATTCGGTCAAAAGTTAATGCAAATGATGCTGAGTAAGATTATCTAATGAAAATATAAGTTATTATTATTAAATTTATTTTAGATTTCGAATTATTGCTCGTGCTGTTATACCTGATACTGGTGTAATATTTAAACGACGACCAGCAACAGATGCAATAGCGTATGTTGTGTTTTTTCTTTTGTTTACAAAAAAAAAGTATTAAATTTAATATTTTGTTTTTATTTTTTGAATTAGAATCTTTATTGATTTGGGTTCATTTCAAGTATTTGGTATTGCAACAGATTCAAAACAATCTGAATTTTTAAATGACAGTCGTCCTGTACTTGCTCGACCATCATCGTTATCATCTTCTCACGAACAAAAATTATTGCAAATCGAATTTGAAACAAATCCATTAGATAAAGAATCTGATTATCGTATTAAAGTTATTTCAGAATCATTGGAAATAAAATATAATGCTGTAAGAATTTTATTTTAACAAAGAGTCTATAAAGAATTGACACTGAATATTTTGCATATTTCTCAGTAGCCTTTCAACATAAAGGAATAATTTTGTGAAACACGGTCTAAAAGAAGTGATGAATTTTGAACTCCTCGTCATAGACGTGACCGCGAGATCAAAGTCTACTGCGAAATTAATATGATAGTTGTCCTTTATTATTTTTTTCATATTCATTGCACTGTATTGCGATTAATATGTTTTATCATCGACATGCATTGATAGTAGGTGAGAATTCATAAACCGCAACGTATATTGATCAATGCTCTCTTGCACAATATCAGCAGCGCTATCGTATTTTACATTTTAATCCCAGACAGATTCTACTAACAGTTATTTTTTATTTGTATCTTTCACTTAAACGAAATAGCAAACCTCATTTGTTTAGACCTAATGACACGAATAGATTCAGGACACATCACTTTCGGAATTCTTTTTTAGTTTTTTATCAAACTTTTGCACTCGTTTTTGTGAGTGATTTTATCAGTCTTTCTTTTAATCATACAATATTTCAATCAATGATCTATCCGACACTAGCTCTAATGAAAATTTTAGAAGGATAGAAAACTTAACTGTTTGAGCAAATTACTATTATTGTTAAACATTAAGATAGAAATTAGCGCAACTCTTTTGAAACTTAATGCATATAGCTATCCTCCGTATATAGAAGATGTATTCCTATAGCTTGTTTTTCAAAAAAGCAGCGTTCCGTTCTATGTGATCAAAAGCGCAAGAATGCTAAAGATGATCATATATACAAAGTTGTAAAGGAATTGTGGTAATTTCTATCTTATTGATTAACAATAACGATCATTTGTCCATAAAATTAAACCTTCAATCCTACTGAAGACTTTGTTAAACTTACTTTCGGACTGATAATTAAGGTGTACCAATTTCTAGAATGTGATGTCAAAGATGATATTTTTCTGCTTAGGAAAGATGTAATTCCTGCGAATTATTTATATCAACGATGATAAGTGTTTTCACTCTATTAGAAGTTGTAGTTGAAATTCATGATATACAAAATAAAGGTTTCGGAATTGGATGAAAATTCACGTTTTTTAGTTTTATTTGGACCAATTTTAACAAGTTTTGAGACCTGGATTTTGTATTAGGGAAAATCTAAGAATAGTTTCGGAAAGAGCGTTCAAAACTGATCACAACTGGTATGAAGAATCTCTCGGAGTCCAGTAATTCTCAATACTGAGCATGTGTTTTTGTAAGTAGAGATAAATCAATTCCTTGAATTTCTATTCGGTGCATAGAATATTTCTAGTGTTTGAGAATTACTGGATTCCTGATAGTTCTTTATGCTAGTTATGATCAGAATTGAACGCTATATCCGAAGCTATTCTTAGATTTTGTCTAATGCAAAACATAGGTCTCAAAACCAATTGGAATTGGTCGAAAAACACTAAAAAATGTGAATTTCCATCCGATTCCGATTCCAAAACCTTTATTTTGTATTTCATGAGTTTTGAGTACAGTTTTGGACAGAGCAAAAAAAAACTGATCATGATTGATATAAATAATCCACAGGAACTACATTCTTAATAAGGAAAAAATATTATCTTTGACATTATTTTCCAAGAATTTGTGCATTCCAATTGCTAATTGATTGAAATCTTGTGTAATTAAAAGAAAGGCTGATAAACTCATTAACAAACTCCAATACAAAAAGACTAATATAAAAAAATTGAGTGAGGTATTCTAAATCTATTTGTTTCATTGAGTGTAAATAAATAAGGTATGCTGTTCTATTTAAGTGAAATATGCAAATTTATAGAGAATCGGACGAGGAATTTATCAATAAAAAAATTATTTCGTTTTGTTAAAAGGCTGTTGAGAAATATGTAAAATATTGAGAGGTCTATTCTTAATGAGCCACCCATTATGTACAAAACTGAAATATCACTTTTGTTTTTAGCCAACAATTAATAAATTAGCAGAATTTTTTGAACCAGATACTCAACGAAATTTACAAGGGTAAATAAAGTTTAAAATAAATTTCGATTTTAATCTATTTTTATTTAGTGTTAAACAAGTAGCTTATTCAACTTATACTGATGTTAAACAACGTTCTTATCTATTAATGAAACATAATATCGAAAAAATCAAAGTTTTAGATATTTATATTGATCTTCAATCATCTTATTTTCTTTTACCTGAAAATGGAGTTTATAAGGAGTAAGAGATTATTTTTTGTTTTTTTTTGTCAATCAACAAAAAAAAATCGAATGATATATTTTTGTTTTTTGTCTAGTGATGTTGCAGCTATTTGTATGGATTTGGGTCATTTAACATTAAAACGAGGTACAAATAAAAAACATATTGATGAAGAATCATTTTTATCAAAAGCAGAAAAAGTAAAAATAATGTCTCATTTGTTCAATATTCTATTTGTTTTATTTTTTACAGAATATAGAAGATGCTCGAGAATTATCTTACACTCGATTCAAATTAAAACTTGAAGATGTTCAATTAATTTATGCAAATCGAAGTACAAAAAAAAATATTTTCAATAGATAATCAAAGAAAAAAACAAGTAAATTTTTGTCTTTAATTTAGATGAAAGTTGGGAACAAGCTCGAAAAGAAAAAAATACTCGTTTACATTTAATCAAACCTATGGAACTTGAAGTAGATGTTGATAAATGTATTTATAACGATGATGCTGTTTTACCAGCGTATGAAATCTTTGTTTTTTTTTTCATCTCAATGAAATATTCTAATAATTTCTTCTTTTAATTAGATGGAAAATAGCTGGAAATGTTCCAAATATAGAATTACGTTTATCAGATAAACGGCTTTTTCAAATAATTAATCATATTCAATTAATTCCTTTACCTGAATCGAAACATTCAATTAATGATCAATCTTTAATTGTTGAAGCAGAAGTTTATAAAAATAAATATTTTTTATTGAAATAGAATAATAAAAATTTTTTTTTTCTCATAGGCGACAACAGCACAATCTTTACTTAGTAATTCTGAACAAACATATGAAGCAGTTGAAGGAATGACACCAGTTAAAAAAACTTTAGATGAATCAGAAGTTGATGAAGAATCCACAGAAGATACTGAAGAAGAACAAAATGATGGTGAAAGACAACTTACACAATTAGAAGCAATATTTACACTTGATAGAGTAATTTTTTATTTTTTCTACGGGGAAAACAAAAGAGACTTCTGTCTTGATGTCTTATGAGTGCTTAAGAAGTCTTTGAGCTATAGTTTTTAATATAATGGATGTCCTAGAAGACATTGTACTAAATATCAGTGCATTTTTTCTCATTTCTTAAGAGTATCTCCTTGTTTGGACTATTTCTAGTTCCTTGCAAGAATACAATAGTTAGATTATCGAAAGTGATAGAACCTATGTTCATGGAAAACATTTTAAAAGCAGATCTTCAGAGATTTTTGAAGGGATCTTTAAAAATCATCGAGTTTGTTTACGGTCCCAGTTGTTACTTTGTCTGATCGGGCTGAAATTTTTCTGTAGGTGTCTGGGATAAAATCTCAGGAGTAGATTTTTAATCTAGCGGAGAACCAGAAGTTGTCCACAAAAGGGGATACCATTAATCATAAAAACCAATCTCTCTTATGTTTAAAGATACAGAATTTCAAGATCTACAAAATTGTTGACTTTGTTTCTCAAACAGTCTTCTCTTGTCAGAGCAAAATTTAGAAGAAGAACATCTATTTAGTCGTCCAATTGCGACGGTCAAGAAAACAAAAAGAACTGATGACAATTTTTTAATCAAGATATCGGTGAATTTTTTACTATCTCATAAAATTCTACATCTCTGAGTGCACGATTCGGAATTTTGGAGGTGAAGTAAAAAAAACTCGCATAAACATCAGAAAAGTCCTTTTTCTGGTAGAGTTATGTCCTTATGTTGAATTCTGCTGTTTCCTCTCTTGATTTTTTTTTTGATTCATAAATAAAATAATTTTTTGTTTTTTATTCAAAAAAAAAGATTGATTTACATATTGATCAAGCATTAGATAGTTCCAATGAAAATGATGATAATGGTAGACCATTTCTTCATCTTACACTTGATTCAATAATTGCTAGAACAAAAATCAAAACATTCGATATGGTATTTGATGCATCATTAGCTGATTTAATACTTTATCATGAACACTTTATTGGAAAAGATAATCAACGTTTATGTTTATTATCAGCACAAATACATAAAAATGATTCGAGTGAAATTAATCAACAAATTCAACAATTAGTTAGTATAAATTTTCTTCATACAACACGAGAAAATCCATTATTTTCATCATCATATTATAATGGAATTGAAAATAAAGCTTATGTTCATTTTTCAAAACTTGTTGTTATTTTACAATTAGAAGCACTTTTATCAATATTAAGATTTCAAGATGCATTATCGAAAAAAATATCTAAAGTTATATTAGATAATGATGTGAAAAAGAAAGATGAAGAAAAGAAAGAACAACAACAACAATTAAAATTACCAGAAGAAAATAAATTATTTGGAAGATCTTCATCTACTTTTGGAAAAGTGATTAAGAAAAATGGTAAGCATTATTTTTCAAATCAAATAATATTATCATTTTTTGGCGTAGTCTAATAATTACAATGTAGCTGTCATTATGAAAGAAAGAGCGGTAAAACTTTCGTTCATAATCTTTCGAAAAAAAGTGAAGGTCGTCCATTGTGAGAAGGAATGGATCATGGTGGATTTCATTTTTCACCTCCTCGATCACCGCTTCTAGTATTCCAAGAATGAAACTATGTCTGCGAGGATTTTTAGCCTCTTCTATCCCTAAAAAATATCGACAACTCTGATACTCCCATTGCGTCTATATTGTCAAACTTTATTGTTTATTATCACGACTGATACTGATCAACGTGCATTTTTCGACTTTCGAAGCGCAATGCAGTAGTTTCTTAAACCATTTATGATATTGATGTCCACTGACTTCGTATTCTGTTAAAGATATTTTTGAGCCATTTTTTTCGATGACTTTGAAGGTTAAATTTTGCTGTATGTTCTTGTTACATCACCTGTAATAAAATTTATGTTTTCGAAAATATTCATTAATACCAAAGTCACAATAGTAGGCGACTAGATCAAATTGAATGGATATATTGGTAGGCAACGGCTCCCTCTGCACTATTTAGGACATTATAGACTTAACTTTGAGTAGCATATTCTTCAAATACTTGTGTATTCAAGAAACTTTGTACTTGCTCAGCTCTGATTGCCATACGTTTTAAAATTACTATCTTATATTTAACATCTGGATCAAAATAGTCTATACTAAATTGAATCGATGAATAATTTTTGGATCGTATTGATAACTTGAGATTATTAGTATTGTTTTATTTAGATGTTCCAGTTACACCTACGCTTAAAATTAAAGCTGATTTAGAAGAAGTTCGAGTAATAATTGCATCGCAAGTAACTCAATTGTTTGATGTTCAAGTTCAAGGTATAATTTTTATTTGATTAATATTTTTCAGAATTTTATAATTGATTTAATGCAGGTGTTAAAGCTGATGTATCTCGAGCATCAGAAACAACAATAGTCAATTTAATTCTTTCAGATTTACGTGTTTTTGATCCATATGAAGGTGCACGATATCGAAAAGTGAGGAGAAACAAATTGTAAAAGAATCTTGCCCACATTCGATGACCTATCTTCAATCAGAATGTCCTATGTACAGTTTTGTAGCGCATCGAATGGCATATAAGAAGTCAAACTTTTGATGATCTGAAGGTTGATATACTGGTTATAATTCATGATAAATATGATACAGTTGCAGATGCACTTTGATTGATCTATAATCAATAGTTTTCATCATTGCTTTAAAAATGATCCCTTTACTCAAGTGTAGATCGATCATTCCTTGAGTATATGATATTCCAGTGTGTTCAATTTTGTCGTACAGAACAATTGGGTACTAATGTGAAACTTTCTCAAAAATTGTACACTATCGAGCTCTATATGTTTCACATATAACATCTTTGAGAACAGCAAAGATTCATTGTTAATTTGCAAGTTTGTCTCCTAGAATAGCCTATTTTCGTATATGAAAGGGCTGGTATATTGACGATATTTGGACAATATTCAATGATCCTATGGAAAATTTTCATGTATCAATAATCAATACGGTATATCTGATGAATTGATATTAATAACTTCTCTAGAAACGGTAAAAAGTTTTTGATCTTCAAATCCCTGGAGAGGATACGTAGATATGGAAAAATTTATTTTTGAAATGAGCATAAGTTAGATTCTTCTAGAATTTCATGCACAAATTAAATTCGAATATTCGAAATAAAAATTCGAAAAATAAAAGAATAAAAATAACAGATCTATTTTCTGCAACCCTATACGTATACTCCCATCCAGGATCTGTAGATTAACAATTTTTTTCCATTTATGAAGAAGTTGTTTATATCAATTCATCGAGGATGATGTGTTGATTATTGATACATGAAAATTTTTAATAGGATCATTCAGTATTGTTAAAATATTGTCAACATACTGACTCCTTCATATACGAAAACAGGCTATTCTAGGTGACAATCTTGCAAGTTAACAATGAATCCTCGCTTGTTCTATGGCATAGACTTGAACACGTTGACATATCATATAGTCAAAGAATGACCTACACATAGACGAAGGAACCATTTTTAAAGCAATGATGGACACTATTGATTACAGAAAATTGAAGAGCATCTTCAACTATATCAAATTAAGTTTAGAAACAAAATTTACATAAATTTATCATCGAACATCTTAGGAATCATATTTGTTTATGGGTACTACACATATTTCTCATGAATTGTAATCAGTATATGAACGTTCAGACCATCAAAAAATTGATTTCTTATATACTATTTGATGCGCCGAATATTGCTCTACAACACCATATGTATGGTGTCATGGTTCAAGATAAGTCACCAAATTCGATAAGATTCTTTCTATTTAACTATTTATTTATTTTTTATTTGAAAAGATTGTTTCTCAACAAGGCGACGATAAAGAATTACTTCGTGTTACTGTATCTTTATTTGATTATCCTGAAGATTATGAAAAACCAGTTGATGTTGTCGATTGTGATGTTAAAGTTCAATTTGCTAAAGCAAATATTATTTTTCTTTTTAAACATATCGATGCAATTTTGGTAAAGAATTTGATGAAAAAAAAAAAATAAAATATTCTTTTTCTTTTTTCCTCTTTAAAGATGTTTCTTGATTCATTAAATTTAACCAAAGATGCATTGGATTTAGCATCAGCACAAGCCGATGCAGCTTATGAACAAGTACAAAAATTACAAAAACAAGCATTTAAAGTTCATCTTGATATAACATTTAATGCTCCAAATATAATCATTCCAACAAATTCATATTCTGATGAAGCACTTTTATTTGATTTAGGTAAATTAACATTAAAAACACGTTTTTATGATGATCCAAAACGATCACTTCTTGAACAACAAAATATTCGATTGGAAAATGTTCTTGCTAGTCGTGTTAAACTTAGTAGTGAACATGGTATTCTTGGTGAAGTTATTTTACTTGAATGTGCTGAATTAAATACATTAATTAATCGTTTACTTTATCCAGAAAAAATAAAAACAGAACCAGAAGTTTCAATTAAAGTTGAATGGGAATTAGTTCATGTAGGTTTCAACATGTACTATTTTCTTTTTTTTTTTTTTTTATTAATTTTTCTTTGTTTTTTTTTGACTAGTTTAAATTAGCAAAAGGTGATTATACGTGTATTATGAAAGTTTTAATGGAAAATTTTACAGAAAATATTCGAAGTCAAATATTGGAAAATGATCAAATTGAAAAATATCATTATAGAGAAGAAGAACGAGAAAAAGAAGAAGAAGCTTTAAGAGATGCTGTTATTAAAAGATACAAAGGTTTAAATTTTATTTTATGAAAGTGAATAATTCTAATGGTTTGATTTTTTCTTTATAGATGCTCTTGGAGATGATATATTACAAACAGTTAAACTTCGAGCAGAAGTTAAGAAATTAGCATTGACACTTTATCTTGGAGAATCTGATTTGGTTAGTATTCATTTATTTTAAAAGCTAATTAATTCAATTATCAATTTATTTTTATGAGATTGTTTAATCATTATACTATTATTTAAGATTGTCGATATTTTCCAGGGATAGGAAGGGCTAAAATTTCTCGCAAAAAGTGGTTTCATTCTCGGAGTGCTAGAAGTGGTGATTGGAGGGTGAAGGACGAACCTCACCGTGGCCCAAATCCTCCTACAATAAACGACTTGCCATCAGACCATCCTCCTCCAATCCTATTCACATCGCAATGACATTTTCTGCTTATTTCTTTTTTTACTTTCTACCAGAGAAAGTCAAAAGTTGTTTTAAAAACCGGTTTTTGTTCAAAGTTACCATGACGCTACAAAAAAAATTGTCAGAAATTCGGACATCTGGGACGAAGAAGCTTCCATTCCCATTGAAAACTCTGCTACTAATTTTGACTTTATAATACGAAAATCAGTTGTACAAAGTCTGATTTTTATGAAAAGTTCTTACGAAAACATTGAATTAGATACATGCAGGTTCAGTTTAATGACAACTAAGTTTAATTAAAACATATTTTTGATTTTATTTTATAATATTAAGCAATTATGTCCAATCTAAATGATGATTTTAATAGCTAATAGAGTTTTCTATCTAATGTGTTCTATACCAAGATTTTTAAAAAATAGGACACGGTTGTTTTCAAGTCTCAGAAGACATTCTTAGAGATATTTTTTAACAAAACCATTTTAAAGAGTACAAAAATTTGAACAAAATGAGGAATTGCCATATTTTCTGTGACTTTTCTTTAAAAAGTATCAGAAAAACCGAAAAACGCGCTTTTTAGCAATTTTCGTACGGATTTTCTTTTTTACAAGTTTTTGTAATACATTTAACATTTTAAGAGAGTGTCATAGAAAATACGACGATCCTTCATCTAGTTCAGAATTTTGTGCTTTTTAAAATTACCATCGTTAAAAAATAGCACCGACAAAATCTTCTATGATGTGAGAATTACCGTGTCCGATTTTTTAGAAATCTTAGTGTAGAACTTGATATAGATGAAAAAAATTTTATTATTTCTAAACTTTTTTTGATATCTAACTTGATAGACATGGACTTTTCTTAAGATCTTATTGATAGCATAAATTCGAATTCGAAACACAACATTAACCGTTCTTTTAGATTACTCAGAAACCTTTACGTTAAAAGTATTTAGGCAGTATCACATAAGCGATCATCCTATGCTTATCTATGGGTGTGTAGAGTATGTCTTTAATGATTGATATTAATCTTTTGAAGTTTATTCTTAAAGAAAATATCTTTTGATTAGTATTCTTTAGTTTAAATTTATATATATATATATATTCTTAGACTGTTCGTCGTGCTCCACGTAATGAAAATCTTAAATTAGCTAATGTTGAAATCGAAATGTTAGAAGCATTATTTCGTCAATTATCAGATACAAGTTATAAAGCCATGGCACGTGTTAAAAATATTTTACTTGATGATTTACGTGCAACAAATAAGTCAACAAGTGTAACACGTATGATTGATAGACATTTTACAGTTGATCCAGATACTCAAATGTTTATTGGTTCATTTGATTTTAAACCAAAAGATTCATCAAATCCAATGGCAGTTCGACAATGTAAATATAAAAATTAAAATAAAAAAAAAATTTTTTTTGTAAATATTTTGGTTTGTTTTCTTTGAATTTTTAGTAAGTGCACAACTTGAAAGTCTTTATATTTGTGTTAGTTTGGATTATTTAATGATATTACAAGATTTTTTTATAGCTGGTTTGCCAACTGGTGTTAATAAAAATGTATCAAGCTCTAATACATCAATATCAACTAAAACAGATCAAAGAGCAAGTCGGCCATCAACTGTAGTTCAAAAACTGTCAACATCACTATCAAAAGGTATGTGAGGCGATAGAAAAGTTTTTTTTTTGCCAGCCCTTTAGACAACTATTCAAAGGTTGATTCTAGTGGATTTTCTTTTTAAGTATTATCCGTCAGCATCGATGCAGTTGTGCATTTGAATCAACCAATTATCTTTTGTGAGATAGTCAATGACATTGTGTTATTGTCGTCGAACTGAATTCCATGTAGTTGATTTTTTAGTTATTGGGAATGAGAAGAAGTCGTATGAACTAATTTTTAGCCAAACATTCTTTGGTAATCCAGGATCTCTGCGATCTCGCATTGTTGTCATGAAAAATGACATCTCGAATACCAAATATTTTGTCTTCGTTCTGATACAATTTTGAAAACTTTTAGTAGGCACTTGTTGACATACGAACTTGCATTTATTGTCTCATCAGGTTCTAATGGTGTAGACTTGGTTAAACTAGACCTCATGAAGAAAGTAGCTATCATTCATTTGTCTGTAGTTTTGCTCCGAGGAATTTTAGTTGGGCTCGGATCGTTCTCTGCTGCCTAAACATTTGACTATTCTTTTGTATCCGAATCATAATGATAGAATCATAATTCATCACCAATAATAATGTCGAATACATAACAGGAATGACCTTGTCTAAATCTCTTGAGTGATTGATGACAGAATTGAATACGCAACTGTTTTTGATCATCAATGAGTTGATGAGGCATCGATCGAGCACAAACTTTGCACAACTTCAAATGATCATGTATTATTGAATTGATGGTGCCATCTTCAATAGTGAAATTACTGCATTGAAATTGATGAAACCAATTGAAAACTGTACGATCTGGAGGTATTTGATCTTTCCATGTCTGCACTAAGCGAACATAGTTTTCATTGTATATCAAGGCAGTTTTTCATTCATATAAAATCATTGTTTGAAACTTTTCTCGTGACAGTTCAAAAGTCATATAAAAAAATGATATATGACTAATCTGGAAGAAATGAAGAATTCTACCGATGCTAAAGACTTAAAAGCCTAAAACTTTCCGCATAATTCTAAATATGTCTAAGCATTATAGTAGAACACTTAAACTCAAATTATGATTTTTAGACGAATTGGATGAAGATACTTTTCTAGTACTCTATATATTACATTTTTTTTTTCAAAAATTTCTTTTTAGCTTCTGCACCTCAATCTCCAAATTTATTAAGTGAAGATGAAGAAGTTGAAACACACGTCGATGTCATTGTTAAAAATCCTGAAGTTATTTTACTTGAAGATCAACATAAGTTAAATTCCAATTGTCTTGTACTCGATGTAAATTTATTAATTAAACAAAAAAAAAAAGAATTGTTTTCTTTTTATTTTTAAATTTTTTTAGTTAGCTTTACAAATGCGTATGATTAATGTTGGTGAAGATACAAAATTATATGGTTGGTTAAAAGATTTAACAGTTTATAGTTCAAATTTTGCTGAATTAAAAGATTCAAAAAATTCACAGTCAAAAATAAAATATCGCGTAAATTAAAAAAAAACAAACGTTTTATTTTATTCTTTTATTTATTTTTCGATCAGATTTTACAACCAGCTAAAGCTGATATTATTATGATTATGAATGATAAACAACAAAAATTTGATCTACGAATTTCGGATATTATTGTTAGTATTGCACCAGCAGCAGTTCGAACATTAATTGCTGTTACAAGTTCATTAGGAACACTTCAAGTAGATTAAATAATAAAAGTTTTTTTATGTTTATATTTTCTTTAAATGTTTTTGTTCTTTTTTTTTGTAGACAACAGTTCCAGAAAAAGAAAAAGTTAATGTCAAAACATTATTTAATCCAAAACCGTTTAAAGATGCGAATTTTTGGTTTACAAAAGGTTTTTCTTTTCTGTATGATTCAATGGATTAAGTTTTTTTTTTTTGTTTTTATTTAAATAGATAGTGAAGAAAACCAAAAAGAATTAGAAACAGTTGATATATTAGAAACTGTAACAGGTTTACCATCACAACTTAAAGAAGCTAAAGAAGAAGAAAAGAAAAGAAAAGAAAATGAAGAAAATATGGAAATAGAAAAACCATTGATACAACAAGTAGAAGATTTAAAGGAAAATAATTTTTTAACATAGAAAAAAATTTTTTTTTAACTTTTATTTTAGCTAATTTTAACATTGGAAACAATTGAAGTTAAACTTGAAGTTGGTTTAGGTTCAATTACAAAATCTGTTGTTGCTATGTGTTTATCAAATTTAACTGCTGATGTTAAAAATTGGTCATCGGAGGTGTGAATAAAATCAATTTCTTTCCTTCTTTTGTTTTATTAGATTTTATTTTCATAAATTTAGTTAAGCCTTTCATCGACTGTTAATGTTGAAGCGGCATTATTTAATGAACATATACTTACTTGGGAACCACTTATTGAACCAACAATTAATGAAACTGGAAGTGTTCTTTCACCATGGTGTATTACATGTTCTATTGTACCTGTAAGTTTTATTTCGACATTATTCTTTGTATAGTGTCATGTGGGACAGTCTCTAATCCCAAAAAATCTCGTCTTGTCGGATATTCGGGATTGAGATAAAAGAGACTGGGGACTTGTAAAAAAGTTTGTCCCGGAAGACTCAAATATTTTGTCATCAAAAATTTCAACGATCTCTCGTATTTGCATTTGATTCAATGATAAAACATAAAAATCTTGGAGTTCAGTTAGATGCTAAAATCAATCTAAGGTCGAACAACTATAGATCATATCTAAATATTATCTCAGAATGAGCATTGACTGATATTGAAATATCACTAGACTCAATGAAAGTTGGCTATTATACTGAAAAAAATAATGTTTGTATAAATCGTAACTGCAAAGAAAACAAAAGAATTTTTTTTCGAAAAAAAAAACAAAATACATCCTGACGGTTCAAAATCTCTCAAGAATATATTAGTGATTTTCTTGCTTTATTCCATTGTAATCTAGAATGAATAACTAAACATGAATGTTTTATCAGATAAAGTCTCTCGTATTGTTTTCAATGCGATGTGAAGCACAACATTCATGTAGTCGATTGCGTATGCATCCGGTCACGATACTTTGCATGTTTTTTTGTTTTAGTAACGTCTGTAGTTTGTGTCGCAGTGATCTAGAGACTGGTGAGTCATTAGAAATTCATTCGAACATTGTCAAAGAGATCGATGTCTCGAGATGATCAAAAAACGTTTTTGAATCTTCAATATGAGTTTTCGTTTATCTTCAGTAAGTTCTGCAAGATAGCGAGTTGGTCTTCATCTTTTATCAAAAACAATTAAAAGTGATGAGCTAGTCTTCAACTAGCTGTTTTGAGCAGGAGCAATAATAAAAACATTCGATAGGACAACATCAATTCTAGATGAAAACGTTCATTGTTCTTATGTTAACTCAAATCTCATTGCTAAAACTAGAGATCACTTCGCACCGAATTTATGTAGTCCTGTGCGAATTTTTACATTTTTTGTACTTACTAGACGTACACATCCAAAGTTATCATTTTTGTACCCTTCATTTTCCAATCCTCAACATGACGTTCTATTTTCTTAGAGAAAAGTTTCCAAAAAGACAAATTTTTTGTTATACAAAAGAGTGATGCTCATCTATGATTCATCATAGTGTAAAGTATTATTCGAATAATTGACTCCATTTGTTCCAAAGATAAGATTCAATTGATCCAGAGCTTTTTTTTAGCTGTAATTTAAAGGTTTTTGTTTCTCATATAATAATATCAATCGAAAACTAGAAAATATTTTGATTTATCTTAATGATTTATAGTTGAGTTATGAAGAAGCCGAAGAGATCAGAAGTGCTTATCAAGTATGTTGCTATAATTTTTGTGCAAGAGTTGTTTTTTTTTACAAGAATATTTGACGCCATACTAATCATAACTACTAATTCTAATAAAACAATATATTAATAAAATAGAAAATTATGATCTATTAAAAGGTATTAACATATGTTAAAAATGGATCAGTTGTAATCGATGAACAAGAACGAAAAGAAGGTATTCCATCATCAGATTCTAAACAAATAATAACTATTCGTGCTGATCGATTACTTAATATAACAATAACAAAAGCTGGCATTAATTTAATTCAACGTTTATCAGGCTTATTTAATGATGTTTATAATAAACGATTACCATTTACTGATGATGAAATTGATCAACCGATGTTATCTGTATTGAATGGAACAGGACAAGAAATAACCATTGCTCATTTAGATGGTGTTGAAGTAAATTTAGTTTCTCTTTCTTTATGTTTTCTTATTATTCATTTAAAAGATTGCCAAAAACACATCATTAACATCAATTAATCTAAAACATAATGAATCTATTCCATTAGTCGTACTAAATGAACGTCATTCAACAGCAAGACTTTCAGTTATTGAAGAACAAAATTTAATACGACGACAAGAATTTTCTGTTCAAGTAAAATAAAATATTTAGATCATATCAAAAGTAGTGACGAAAGTATTTTAATTCCTTACCAAAAACCTTAAAGAAACTTTCTCTCTATGTAGATTAATAGTAAAAATAACGTTCTATTTTTCTGTATTATTACATCATTCTTTTATCTAATATCATAATAATAAAATTTCGATAGGAGTTATTTATTATGATATATGACAATAACATCGGATTATATTTGTCTTCGGGATGTATCCTCTTCTTAATCTCTACCTCAAATGAAATACAGAAATAAATTCATCAAGTTTTTATTTCATCAAATGTTCGAAATAATTGCCATGGTTATTTACACATAATTACATTCGTTGTATTCATTGATCGAATCTTTTTCTATATTCTTCTTTATTTAAAGAGTTCATGAAATTGGTTGCAGCATGATGCAACGATTTTAAATCATTTTGATCATTTAGATTTTTTTTGATTAAGTCAAATAACAAAAATATCCTATGGCACCACATTCGGAGAATTAAGTGGATGCAGTATTATTGTCATACCTTCCGATTAGAGTCTGTCGAATCCAAAATTTTTGGACCTGGACCCAACGAACTCTATTTCCCATTCAAGATAATTGGACACATCATTATGAATGCATAGGCTCTCATTAGAAATAGGTAGATATCACAGAGAGAACGGGGAAAAAAGAGAGGAGAAGATTAAGAAAAGAATATACTTCGCATACAGATATGATCTGATATTATTGCCACATATCATAACAAATAACTTCTATCGTAATTTTATTATTATGATATTAGATAAAGGATGATGTAATAATACAGAAAAATAGTGTCATTTTTACTATCAGTTCATATATAGAGAGAAAGTTTCTTAAAGTTTTTGATAAGGAATTAAAGTACCTTCGTCATTACTTTTGGTACGACCGAAGTAGTTTAATTAATTTAAAAATTAATCAATTATTTTTTTAGATTGGAGATGTTATTAAAACTGTTAGCATAAATCGAACATGGCAACGTGTTTACAATTTAGGTCAATCATCAAATCCAAATTGGCCAATTGAAATGCTTTGTGATACACAAATACGAAATGATCGTCGACATGTTATTCTTAGTTCAATTATTAAAGTTTATAATAATACAACAATGCCATTAGCAATTATAAGTATTGATTCACTCAATACAAGACAAAGTCAAAAAGTTACAACAATTCATGTTAACGAAGAATACCATGTACCGATTAATTTGCTTTATGCACATTCAAGTTCACTAATATTTATTGCAATTGATGAGTAATGAAATTATTTTTTATCTAACGAAGGAACCTCTATCAAACTGATAATCTCTGTTTGAGCTCATCATGTAGATAAAAACTCTGAAATAGTTCGTGTCATTAGGCCATTCTTCTCGTGTTATGCTCATTTTACTGAACTTTCAGCTAATTGTAGGATACTAAAAGAAAAATTGCAACAAGAAATTTTGGCCTGAAAAAATATCTCTCATAGTCCTTATGATATCCTAAAAGTTTCAACTCAAACGGATGATTTCTTCTCAAGATATCGAATGCCTAAACACTACACTATTTTAGAGTTCTTATGTGAAAATAACGTGTTTTTTTTTACAAAAGTGTTATCTTATAAGGGAAATATCCTTTTGAACCGCAAATTTCAGGATATCATAAGCACCATAATGGCTATTGTTTTTCATGTTGAAACCCTTTGTTGCGATTTTTCTCGTGAAATCTTGCAAACCTATTCAAAATTTTTTTATCTATACTATAAGCAAAATATGAGTTCAAATGCAGATTATTAGTCGGATGAGTTTTTCGTCATAATTAAAATAAAAATAAAAAGAATTCATAATGTTTATTTTTAGACATGAAAATAATGAAGAAATAAATGATTTTTTTTCATTTGATTGGGAATTAGAATATACTTCAGAAAGAAAATTAAAATTAACAAATGGAAAAGAAGCACATTTTACTGTATGAATTTTAAATTAGAATTGAATTTTTTTATAAAGAATTTATATTTGGATTTTTTAGGTTTTTAAAGAAGTGAATACAGCTTATTCAGAAAATACTGATCAACTTGATCGATCTACATTTAATATTTATATTTATCCAGCTCTTCATTTAACTAATCTTTTACCGATGGATATTCAATGTTCAGTTGATGTAAGTAAAAATTTTTATTATGAAATATTTTTAATTTAATGAATAAGATGATTATATTAAAAAATAAAGATAAAAAAAACAAAAATATCATTTTTCAGGTTGACATTCCATCTTATAATTCATATCCTGTATTTCATCAAATAATTCGTCATTCTTCTAATGTTCGTTTTTCTTTTCTAGTATATAATATTTGACAATGGGAAAAATTATGATTTTCCTGAGAAAAATACACACAATATAAGAGCTTATGAACACTATTGCTTTCTTTTACCTGAACGAATTTAATTGATTATTTAATCTTTATATTAATTTTTGTTTAGAATGTTGAACAAATTAATTTAAAACCAAGTGAATTAAATTCAATTACGTTTGGCAGTAAACATTCCACATTAACTTTCATTGTAAAACTATTTGATCTTTTTTTTTTCTTAAAAATAATATTTTTTTTTTTCGAATATTTAGATTCCATCTTATGCTAATATAAAATGGATATCAGAACCAGTTGATTTAAATGTTGAAGGAAAGGGTGATCGTAATGAACACCTTGTTAGATTTCATAATAGTACTTCTTCGAATTCTCAAGCCATATTGGTAAAAAAAAAATTAATTTTCAAATAAAGAATAATAATTTCTATTCAATAGAACATGGTTTTACGTGTTGATTCATTCAATGAGTCTTATCGTTTGTTGTTATATTCACCATTTTGGGTTCTTAATCGTACAGAATTAAATCTTGAATTTCAAGTAAAAAGATTTTTTTTAATTTTCTATAAAAATTTCTTTTGATTTATTTTTATTAGATTGAAAATAATAGTACACTTATTGCAGCTACTGAAACGCCATATTTAGTTTGTCCAGATAAATTTAATAGTGGAGAAAAAAGAAAAGTAACAATCAAATATAAAATAAAAGACAGAAATATTTGATTATCTCATAGGGACAACTCCGTCTTTATACTACTGCACAAGGAGATAATGCAGCTAATTGGTCAGAAACATTTTCAGTTGATGTTATTAAAAGCACTGGTATAACATCTTGTAAAGTACCAAATGATCGAGTTTATATGGTAATGTAAACAAAATTTAATAAAAGAAAAAGAAAATGAATTATTGAAATTTTATAATATAGATTTGTGTGGATATTGTAACATCTTCATTTGGTTTAACAAAAATTATTACACTTTCACCATCAGTAGTTATTATGAATAAATCAACTGTATGTTTAAAAAATTTTTCTATTTTCAATTTGAAATTTACTTTTATCTTTTGTTTTTTATAAGGTTGAAATCGAAATAGTAGAAACAGTATCGGATAAAGAACAAGATAAATGGGGACCAGTCAATCCTGAACAAGTAAAGAATTTCTTTTCTATTTTGTGAAACAACGATCTAGAACGAATGTTGAAGTATATAGTTGGCTTATACCGAGCCTGAGCAGCTCGACTTCGGGCTCAGTCGGACTTGGACTCAGGCAGAGCTTAAACGAGCCTGACCGAGCCCGAGCTACCCAGGCTCAGTGTATGTCTAGTATAAAGGGTAGCAATTTGCATCTACCTCGCAGACCATGACATACATTAGCTAGAGACTGTGTTGATATACGATCAAAGACAGTATATCAATAATGTCTCATTATAATACCGAGTGTGGCAAAAATTTTCCGACATTTTTTGTTTTCGTATGTAACTCTGTTCAGGATTATGATACAGCGTTGATTTTTCTTTAAAAAGCTTGATCACTGAATGTTTTACTCGAATGATAAGATCAAATATTTATAGCTATTTTCAAAATTTTAATACATTTCTAACATTGAAAAAGTGTATCACTGTGTTATTTCCTATAAGGAAGAATAAGAGAGAACCGAAAATTGTTGAGATTTGGTTTTGACAGTTATTGTTCATTAATTTCGGTTATAATGTTTGGAATCAATCAGAGACCTGGTGTGTGAATCACAAAATGGATTTTTCTGGATTTTTCTTGTAGAAAATAACATGATGACACACGTGTTTAGTATTAGTGGTCTATTAAAAGATAATGAAGAAATATGCCCAAAATAAATAAAATAAAATAATCTCTCTGTGATTAGTAAGAGCGGATACATCGTGTTTCACATTTTAATTTCTCAGAGATTGTATTAACAGTTTTTATATTATTATTCAATGTATTTAAGGTAATTCCATTTTGGCCACATAATATACAAAATGGTTTAATGCGTGTTCGTTATACACATAATCGTGTGACATCACGTCCATTTTTAATGAATGAAAAACATCGAACACTTTTACATATGGAAGATACAGAACGTCCAGCAATTTATGTTGAAGTAACAGCAACTGATTTTGATGGTGTGAGAGTTATTTTTGGAGATTATAAAATTGGTGATGCACCTGTTCTTCTTGTTAATTGCTTAAAAGATGAGTCGATTGCATTTTCTCAAGCTGATGATATGTAAGTCATATTATTGATTTTTTTTTTATTTTTAATGAAATTTGATGTTTTTTTTTCAATAAAATAGACAAGCAATAACTTTACCACCACAACATTATGTTTATTATACATGGTTGAATCCATTAAAAGCAAGAACATTAAGTGTTAATTGTAATGAAAGTAAAGCAGAGCTTGGACTGAATGTAAGAAGATTTGATTTTGTTTTTTTTTCATTTGCTAGAATGATTGAAATTAGAATTTATGATTACTGTAGAATTTCTATTGTGAATTCATTTTGAGATGTTTATAATTGATACCATACCGTTCGTTTGTTCACAATACTGGTAATCAACTGTATCAGTAAACATAAATGAGACAGAGTTATCTATGTGAATATCAACGAAAAATGATATTAAAGAGTAAATAATTCGTAGTATTCAAATTAATAGATAACAGCAGATAAATATTTAATAGTATCGTATTAATAAGATTATTGCTAAATTTGAAACGATGATAAAAATGTTTTAGCAAGAATCAATGAAATTGATCACGCTCATATCTACAGTTCACCTATATGAAACATCTGGCTAAGCAAGTGGCAAAAAAAAGTGCCGTTAATACACATTTACATGGATTTTTTAAGCATTGAAATATACGATAGGTTTTTTTCGTCACTTGATCGGCTAGACAATGATATAATAACAATTAAACGACGGCTTATTTTTCTAATAAGAAATCGCAAGTTTTTCTTCATTTCAATTACACGCAATTCTAAGTCGAATTTCTTCTTTCAATGTTCCTACCATGCTATCGTATCATATATTTACTTAGTGAGTTACATATAGTAAAGATAGTCCAGTGGTTATAATGTTTGTCATACATTTCAAACGTACTATGTTCGAATCTCGATATTATTTCAATATTGACTCGAATCAATTGAGAAAGAGGATAGGTTAACAAAAATTAATGAAAAAATTGTACTGAAATATTATGAAAATAAATATAATTGCATGCTCACTCTGTGTTCCATTAAAATCAATCGTAATGGAATTCAATTTTCTCGCATGCTAAAGAAAGTTTTCTACAGAAAACAGCATTTACTTAAAATAGAATGATATGTCATTTAATAGAGTATCAATCTCTTCTGTCTGTTTTGTACAAAAAAAATTATTTTATCTATGTAAATAATTTTTTTTAGCCGCAATGTGGTTTTCTCAAAAAAGATAGTGAACATAATATTAACTATGCTATGTTTATGGATGGTATTCAAACTGTTTTACTTATTTCTGATGATACAAAAATTATTGCAGCAGCTTCTGGAGTAAAAAAATAAAAGTTGTTTGTTTTCTTGTATAAAATAATGAATTTTAATTAATATATAGATGCCAGCATTAGCTGAAGCAATGGGTCAACGTCTTCAAATTGGTATTCATGATATTGGTATATCAATTGTTAATGATGTAACTCGAGAAGAAATACTTTATATAAGTTTAAATAAATCAAAAGTTATTTGGACAGAAACAAAACGATGTCATGTTCGACCATTATCACATAATCTAAATAAAAATTTAGAAGAACTTTATAAATCTTATGTTGAAGAATGTGAAACTAATCCAGATAATAAAAGTATTCAAAGAAAAAAATATCATGTGGAAGAATTTCAAGTATGAATAATTATTTTCTTTCTCTCTCTCTCTCTCTCTCTCTCTCTTTTTTTTTTTTAAATATTATTTATTTATAAATAGGAAATATCATTTTCTGATAATAAAGCTGAATTAGTTAATTCAAAAGGACAAAGAAAATCAGTTAAACGGCAAGCATTAGATGGTTTTTGGATTGAATATGGATGGTCAGTAACAAATACTGCATTACATGTACGTATTAATCGTGTACAAATTGATAATCAACTTGATTATACAATATTTCCTGTTATTCTTTATCCAATTATATCAAAAACAACAAGTCCGGAACTTTCAGACAAACCATTTATTGAATTAAGCGTTTATGAATCTAAAACAACTCAATCAAATGTAATGCAATTTAAATATTTTAAATTACTTATTCAAGAATTTGCTGTTAAAATTGATCAAGGTTTAATTGTTGCACTTTTAGCATTTATTCAATCAGAAAAGGTTTTCATCTTTATTTTTTTTTTTGTTTGATTCTTTTTTTATTTTTAACGTTTTATTTCATATAGATTTCAGCAGCACCAACAGTAAATATGGAAACCGATTTAGAACAAATACAGAAACCACTTACTGCTATTATTAAAGCACAGACAGATGCTCCATCTGGTGAAACAGAAATGGTTTTCGATAATATACATTTATCACCGCTTAAAGTAAAAAAATGACTTATATTTACTTTAGTTGTGTTTTTTTTGACATAAAAATTTTTATCTAGATTCATGTTAGTTTTTCAATGCATGGATCAAAACCAAGTGAAGCATTATTAGCTACATATCCATTAGTTGGATTTTTATTACGAACATTAAATGTTGCTGAAGTACAAGATGTTATCTTACGGTAAGGTTTATAAAAATAGAAATACTTTATGAAAAAAAAAGAGTTCTTAATGAACGTTGAATTTTGTGACTAGAAAGTTAGACTTCTTCCACTGTGAAATCTTTTAAGTGATTCTAAAATAAAACTAGGAGTTCAAATTAGAAGGTATACCTGTTAAGATTTTATTCACAAAAAAAAGTACTTCATATTGTAATCGTCTAAGAATTACATAGAGAGTTTTATAATGTATAGTTTGGGTTATTATGAACGAACAAATGATCGATATACAACAACAAGATTAACAAATGAAGTTTTATCACATTATCAAAATCAATTTATGAAACAACTTCATGTACTTGTATTGGGTCTTGATGTACTTGGAAATCCCATTGGTGTTATTCGTGGTCTTGCTGAAGGTGTTGAATCATTTTTTTATGAACCATATAAAGTAAAATAAATGATATAAATTAATATTTATGTATTTCTTTTTGTTTTCTTTTTTAAGGGTGCAATCGAAGGTCCAATGGAGTTTGCTGAAGGCGTTGTAACTGGTGTTCGAACATTATTTGGTTCAGCTGTTGGTGGTGCTGCTGGTGCTTTTTCAAAAATAACTGGTGTACTTGGAAAAGGTTTGGCTACATTAACATTTGATGAAGATTATAAAGTTTCACGTATGAAACGACAAGAACCAGCAACTAAGGGAAGGACTGAGATTGCTATTGAAGGAAAAAATGTTGTTATGGTATGTTGAAAATTGATTATTAGATTTGAAAATTTGTTTTTCTTTTAATTTTTTATTATAAAGGGTTTCGTTGAGGGTGTTAAAGGAGTTGTAACTAAACCAGTATCAGGTGCAAAAGAAAGTGGTGCTTCTGGTTTTGTTAAAGGTTTAGGAAAAGGTTTTCTTGGTCTTGTTACAAGACCAACAGGTGGAATTGTTGATTTTACAAGTACTTCGTTAGATTTACTTAAACGGTAAAAATAAAATAAAAGTTATATTTTAATTTAATTTATTCAATTTTGAACAATTTAGAACTGCACAACAAGAAGACATTGTACGTCGTGTTCGTTATCCACGTCATGTTGGTCGTGATGGTCTTGTTCGACCTTATATCCCTCATGAAGCTATGGGATTTTATATTTTAAATGTAAATTTAATTTTTTCTTTGAAAAATTCGTATTCATTTATTTTTATTATATCATAGAGATTACAAGAAGGAAAATATGCCAAATCGGATACTTATATTGCACATATAACTTGTACAGAACATCCATTATCTTGGTTAATGGCAACATCGAGGCAAAAAAAAAATAATTTATAATTCTATTAAAATAAATTATTTCATTTTAGACGTTTATTATTTATAACGGAAATTTCATTTCTTGGTTTATATGAAACTGATTGGGAAATTCCATATGAAGAATTAAAAGAAGAACCAATCGCAAAACCAAATTTAGGTCAAATACAAATTCTTACAAAAGTAATTTAATAAGAAGAAAAAGAAAATTTTTTTTAGAAATTTATTTATATTTTTAAGGAACCACAAAAAACTGGAACAATTAGATCAGCTCTTTCTTATGGTAAAATGGTCAAATATCGAAATATATCTGAAGCTCGAGTAAAATTTTCTTTTTTTTTTTAGTTATTCATTTTTCTTCTTTCAAATTTTTTTCTTTTCATTTAGTATATTATTGAAAAAATAATTTATGCAATGCATACAGCAGGTCTTTAAAAAACTAATCTCTAGATTTTTTTTTTCTTCTATTTAATCCAGCATATTTTATTGTCGTTTGTTTTCTTTATTCGTGCATTGAAGATAAAATATTAGTCAATTTATTAATATCATTGAAATTTATTTTATGGATGTAATTGGGTAACATAAACATGCGTTCTTTCATTGTTTTCTGTTCTTTTATTTTGTTTCTCCATTTTATTTCAGCTTTATGTAAACATATACATTTATGTCATGTCAAAAATTTAATTTCTTTTTTGTTTCTTTTTTTATGTATACAAATGTTCGTTTTGACTCCTTAGTGTTGATTTATTTGGAGAAAAAAATACAAACATTTATTTGTATGAATAAAGAACAAGAAAAAAGAATGAAATCTTTTCTATCTTAAGAATAAAAAAAAAGTTTATCGACATTGTTTGATTCATAAAAATGACAAATTTTAATTGTTCTTTTGATGATAAAGACAAAAGCAAGGACAATTCTTTTGTAAATCATAATCGACTAGATTCTTCGTTCTTTCTTTTATATACTTAATGTTTGATATGATTTGAAAGAAAACCTTGATTGAATATTGATTATTTTAATGGTATTATATTTCACAATGTTCATCTAATGAATATTTTGTCTTATCGTTCAATTCACAAATTCTCAATAGCTATGCAATGAATAAAACATTTGATATGAAATCAGATCCGAATCATTTTCATCGTAATCACTACTACAATCTCTTCATCATATGAATAATCAGTGATACTTGAATGAAAGTGTAATAGAATTCGATCTTGTCTTGAAGTACTCTATTATATTAGATGATATTTCTTATAATTTCACATCATAATTATACAATAATTCATTGAATATATTTATAATTTTTTATTTCTGTACTTGTATTTATTTGAAATAATATATTGATGTTTCTTTAATAATAAGAAAAACAATAACAATTATTTGACAAATAGTTTTACAGGAAAAGGAAGAAGTCAAATATGTTTATCATGTTTGCCAATAACACAATAATATGTATCGAAAGATTTAATAAAAAGTAAATTCATTTTCTCTATCAGCTATATAATATCATATAATTAAATTATGAATCATCAAAGAAAATAACATTTATTAGATCATAAATCTAATAATAACAATAGTGATCAAATATTAGCTTATATTTGCTTGCTTCCATCATTTATCTGTTACGTTGAAGGTGATTATATTTATTTTAAATATGTATCACTTAAGTATTTTCGATTATGTTCAAATGGATCAATATTCTCATTAACACTGTCAAAGTACTTTTATTCCTTGTGTCTATGACAACAGAAAAAGAAAAGTTAATACATGCAATTGAAACTATTGGATTGAACTTCTATGATCTTTCTCCTCCTCCCCTCTTCATTCTTTTCATCGGTAGTTGAAAGCACTCATGATGAGAATATTACATATAGAATTTATGAATGAACAATACAATACAAAACATCAAGAAGCACACTTGTTGATCTTTGTTTTTTGCACAATTTACTAACCTGGATAACATATATCTATGGCTTCTGTGATGAAAACAAATTTGAGAAGCAATATTCGATCATATGAATTTAAAAAGTACATAAAAAATATTTTTACTAATCAAACTTAAATCTTCTAAAATATGTTCTAAAATATGTTTTATTAATGTTTATAGCACAAAAACAAATAATAATATTTGTTTTTTTTCACGCTTATATATATAAAATAAAACGTAATTCTTTAATTATTCTTATTTTTTACCTAGTCATTATTATTTCGTTAACATACTTTTCCATCGTAAAATTGATAAAAGTCACGCTGTGATAATAATGAAATATTCGACTGTTATTTCTACTATTACTTTGTACAGTCACCTTCCACATATATACATATATATATATATAGAGAGAGAGAGAGTCTTGTCACTTTTCATTAATTTAATAAACTCGTTCATCTAATTCTGATTGCCTTTAAATAGGAAAATGTCAATAGTACGCCCCATCACTTTCTAACTTGACACCTACAAGCCTCCTGAATTATGATAGGTATGTATTATTATATGATCATAAATAAATGAATCAGTTCCTCTCTACATACTTTCAATTTTTTTTATGCGTGCTTTTATTGATTTGGTAATCGGACAATGAAATAGTTATACATATGTGATAAAGTAATCAAAAAGAAAAATGAAATAGAACTATTGTCTTGTATTCAATTAGTTGAAAGCATATACCTATTGCTATCTCTTAAAGGATCAAATATAATGTATATTGTTGTGTAAAGTGGTATGCATGATGGCCAAGTTCAGGGTTGAAGAACTCTTTATTTGTATTGACCATAATTATCTAACTTGAGATGCATATAGACAGAGCAAACAAATATGTAGATATATTCAAAGACAACGACAGAAATTTGATAACAGAAGAGGACTATGTTTGTCTGGTTGATAGATTGATTATGTCATCATTATCGGTTTTTTTTTGAAAATTTTCATCGTCATCATCAATAGTGTCATCATTTTTCTTTGTGTGGATGCGATGTTTTTGTACTCGATTATCAATGGAAAATGTATGTATATATGAGTGTGTCATTCGTTCAATCAAAATACATTGTGATGACGATTGATTTCACACTTTCTAGCTTCTCATTCGTTCACACTTATCAATCGATATTTTCTCATCGAATATTACCAACGAAAATCAATTGAACAAGAGAGACAGTACATCAATTCGTCTCTCTATTACTTTTCTCTTCTCTCTTTGTCTTCCTCACCTATTGCTAATGTACTAGGCGAAATACTAAAGAAATTGGAGAAAAAAAAGAAAGAACAAGCGTGTGTGTGTATATGTACGAAAAGAGAACGATGACGAGAAGAGAGAGTGTATGTAATTTTCTTGTTTGATTCTCTCTTTTATTCTATACGATTCTTTTTTTTTTATAAATAGCAAAAGACAGACGTAAATCCTCTTCTCTTTTACAATATGTTCGTTATGACACATTTTCTGATCGAAGATTCGCATCTCTTTTAGACACGATTGTGTATTATTGTGACCCTGGGATTGTGTATGGTTGTATTTATATCGATCATGTTTTATTTTCTTGTTTGCCTGTCTCCTATTCCAATATCAACTGATCAGTTATCACTATTACAATTATAAAAATGTTATTTCAAATCAATTTGACGAATGGATGGCAAGAAGAGTGATTTTTCTGTTCATATTAGCTGCCAGTCTTTCAACTGCGGTAAGAAAAAATTTCAAGATAGCGAGATATCATTTGGATCTTCTTATTAGTTTGTTTTGTTGTTGATTTATGAGAGTCCTTCTTTTTTTTTTCTTGGCTCACTGCACACGAACTCGACCTAATTTGAAGACTATCATTTATTTTTAAGAAGACATTACATGTACGATGATATATCGAAGTTTTATCTTCAACAGTTTGCATAATAGTGATGTACAACTTCGAGTTCATATTTCTGAAATTCGAGACATTTTGTAAATCTATTTTTATAAATGATAAAAGTCTTATACTACTCTTGATGAAAATATATTGAAATAAACTATTAACGAATAGTTTTTTTTACAGCTTTAAGCTTTGTACACTTGATAATAACAGCAAAACATAACTATTTACCTCGTTTTTTTTATTTCTGATGTTGTATTTAATAGATTTTTCTTCTTAACATTCAGGCTAAAGTATATCATGATATTTGAGTAGTAGAACACAAATATTTGAGTTAAAGCTTGATAAAAATCATCATCGATGAATACAATCGACAGATAAACGTACTACTCCATTTAGTTTTGTTTTTTCATAAAAGTGATACGTAAAAAGTATAACAACTCGATAGAAAAAAAAACCATGGTATTCATATTCTACTAAAAGAAAACTTTAATTCCAAAGACTACGTTTAAATTTTCATCTACTACAATTGTCATAATGTAGTACACTAGATTGTGTCAAGGTTTGATGGTAATAGTGATAATAATGATGATAATGAGGTGTCGTCATTGTCTTTCGTATTCGTCAAGCACTTCAATAGATGCGTGTAAATGTATGTCTATTCTATTTTTATCATTGTTACTATTATTATCATAATAATGTTCAATCCTTTGATTGATAACTCGCTTTTGTTCTACGTTCGGCCATATTTTTCTTACTTTTTTCTTATTCTTGTAACATACAAACACATTGACAACGAGGGATTATCAAATATATTTCGTTTGTCGACAACGTTTGTTTGCATTTAATTGCCTTTTGTATGCATACAAATAGCATCACCAGCAACAACGATGACAACACAGGTGTGATTTGACGACTAAGAACACTATGCGAAGAATGTGCGTGTGTTTGTATGCATTACCCATTCTCTCTCAAGATGTGGTATTCACAAGTAACAGGAATATGTTTTGAATATATACAATATGATGATGTTATTAATGTTGTTGTTTTAAGACATAGTAGAAAAATGACTTTCATGAAAGCAGTCATATTTTTCTTATTCTTTACTTGGTTATTGATGATGGAAAGAAAATGATTACGATCGTAAACAATATATTATTATATCAATGATAATAAGTACTTCATAAAATTTAAGTTACATCAGCAGGGTAATTTTATTCCGAATCTTTCTCAATCGTTCAATTCACTGATTGAATTTATTAATAAAAACAAAAGTTCATATTTCATTCAATTGTTCTCAACTAGTTCCATTTGTTATATTAAATGCAAAACAGAGTTGCATCATACTTATACAAATGTAATAGATGTTTAGTCTTGATAATGATGGTTGCGAATCATTGAAAAAAAGTAGCAATAAGAAAAAGAATGAAGACCATACCACACAAAAAGAAAGAATATAACATAACATAACATAAGTAAAGAATTGAAAAATGTTAATGAAAATATCTCTGAATAATTCGTGAAAAAAAAACCATATAAAAAGCCGATAGAAAAATCATTGAATATTTTTATTATATCGTACTTTTTTTTTTTATTGAAGTTTGTTTAGTACTCTCAAATTAAATTTGTAATATGTTTTTTATTTTCCTATATAGCCACTGTTTTCCTTGTCTGCACCCATATTATCTGTTGAAAAAGAGCATTTGTCGTCCTATATTCAATATAAATTTGACGAAAATCATCATTATCGACCATCATTAGTCAGTTTTTTGCATCGACAACCAGACGGTTCTCAATTGGCAACAATACGTTACTATCGAATTGTCTTCCATTGTAATATTTTACCTGGATCTCTCTATCTTCGATTTTCCAAAACAAAACCTTATCGTACTGTTGTTCAAAATCGACAAGATCCTTCAAGTAAATCACTTTTTTTTTCAATTGAAGTTTTCAAACATTTTTAAATAAAATTAATTATAGCTATTTTTGGCTTTCGATCAGTGGGTGCCTACAGTCGTGTTCAAATTCAAAATCATATATCTAGCGTATGGTTATGTATGAATGAACAAGGAAAAATAGTGCCAAAAGTATATTAATATATTTTAAAGTTTATGCTCTTTAAAATTAAGGTTTTTTTTCAGTTAAATATCACGGTAGATAATCTTGCGTGCACATTTCGTCAAAATTCAGATGGTCCCTATTTGAAACTTATCTCTGAGCTTTATCCGTCGCGTCAAATGTTCTTTAATACACTTCGTCTCTTATCATTAAATCCTATACTTCGCCGTCGTTATGCTCAATATATGACAAATGGTAATAACTTTTTCAAACGTGAACGATGTAGTCGATTCATATTCGATAGACAAATCGATAATGCATTATTGAATCGAACAATAGATCCATTTCTTCGATTGAGACGTTAATTAACATTGTTTCGAGCAGATGGATGGTATATTCAATTTCTTTTTCCTATTTTTATGGCTCAGTCAAATGTTTTGTTTTGTTTTGTTTTTTTTGCCTTTTTATTTATTATCAATTGTTCTGTGTGTACAATGAATTATTCTCTCGATTTTCTGTAAATGCGCGCTTGGTGCTTTCTTTATATGTTTTGGTCTTCCTTTTCTCGCTTCACTTCTTTGACCAAATGCGAATATTCGTTCTTTTTGATTAAGTAAAAAAAACTGTTACAGTTAATAGTTCAAAAAAGTTTCTTTTCTCTGTGAACAATATGAAGATATAACAAATCAAAGCTTGTATCAAAAGGACAATCTGTGAAATAGTCAATATCGTATGCTTTTTATTATATTGGAAAAGATTAAGAAAATCTATATAGAATATACTTTTAGTTTTTGATTGTCCAAATTAGTCAATAACGACGCACGAGTCAGATTTTAAATTTTATGCATTGTATTCACTCATAATAAAAAAAAATGCTTTGCAGTTATTTTCTGTATCACTTTCAATGTGACTCAAATTTATAACAACTAATAGATCTAGTGTTGGTTATGTCTTTTTATGAAGAAAATCAATGCTATGTGATAGTTTATATATGAAAATAGTTTGATGAGTGTAAGCTTAAAAACCAATTGAATTATTTTTATTTTTCTCATATACAATTAAAAAATACATCTTTCATAATATACATAAATAAAATAAATACTAAGATTAAAAAGTAGATGATTGAATCACTCACCCAATATTCCTATAAATACGTAACCAGTTCAGTTGATTTTTATATTGTGCAAAACGAATGTAGTTGTTTATTTGTTATTCAATTCGATGGATCGAGTCTATGATCATTTAAATATGTGTAATAGTAATGGATGATGATTTTTCAACCATACATGGAAGAATGCCATAGGATCATGTGGGTGTTTTATTGTGAGCATTCTAACTTGGATTAGTTTATCAATTATAGCATTATCTTCAATACTTGACAGTGAAAAGCAATTTTATTATGTTGTATATTATTTAATTTGTTTTTTTTTAAAACAGTTATTGAAAGCGATACAAAATTACCATTGATTGTATTTGGCTGGTGAAAAAACCTTAAAAATAATCAATAATCATACATATTCTTTTATTTTCCGTATGTTTACGAGTTTTATTGGTATCAAACTTTAAATTCAATCCAAACACGACTAATCCATGCTGCTGCACTTTCTACCCTCAAATAATTAGTGTGTTCACATTATACAGAGAAATTAAAAATAATTTGATTTGCCGCATTATAGAAAATTCAGTTGAAACGATCAATATCAAAGTTTTATAGAATTATATTAAAAAACAACAGGTTCAAAGGTAATAAAATCCTCGTAGTT